AGGGCGAGCATGTTTGGTAGGACGGGAATGCGAACCCGCGACCCGCAAATTGCGAGTCGAGCGTCCTAACCACCTGGCCATGCCGGGCACATTATATACTTTAACATATTTCTTTCACACTTTTCACGTCCCCCGGTGGGACGGCGGTAAGTTTTCGGATTTACAATGCTAAAATCAGGGGTTCGATTTCTCTAGGTGGACACAGCGGATAGCCCAATGTGGCTTTGCTATAAGAAACAACACACACACACAGACTTCTCACAAACCTAAGTGACTCCCCCCCCCCTGGTAACTCGGAGTTAAGTTTGAGAGCCTATAATGCTAAAATTTGGGTTTCGATACCGCTGTAGGCGGAGCATAGGTAGCCCAATGTGTAGTTTTTTATGCAACAGTAAGCAAACAAATTTAGCCATTTCAAAAAATTTGCTCTATTTTTTATTTTACAGGAAAAAATGAACTTTTAGGACAAGAGTTTCAACTTAATTGGGCGTGGATATCTCTGGAGTACGACTCTTACGAAATCAACGAGACGGAGAAATACTTGAATATCAAACTTTCCAGGAGAGGTTATTTAGGAGAGACGTCTTTCGTTAGTACGTATTAACTTGATATTATATTTATGATTTGGCAAATATTCGTTGAATTATACATTACGTTTATCTTGACATACTATCGATTGATGTATAAACGATGTTTCATAATTATCTCTTAATGAATAAAGTAAATACCGTTTGATTTTACCTACCGTATAAGTATAAGCTACAAGCAAAATTACCCGTCCCCAGTGACGGAAAACGTTTAAGTTAATCTATCCATTTAAATTATTTCACGGACTTTTGAAAGGTCAATTGTGTTGAACTCTAGGGTTTTTTTAGCATTTGAGTATTTGTTGAGCATTTCAGTCATGTTAAGAGCCGCTCAACAATAACATAAAATAAATCTACATTTTTATTCTTTAAGTTACGTCACATTTTGAAATGTGAATGATAATGTGATTAATTCCTTACTATTTAGTGTAGAATATCCTGCTTACAAAATGAAATTTGGCATTAACATTATTCATGCCTGTTCTCCCGTCATTTCAAAAGTGAATGTTGAGCTTTGCCTGTGTGCTCAGCTTTTCAAACGCAGCGCAGGAAGCGAACGCCGTAAAAGAGAGACAGACGAACGCTCGGACAGACACCACGGCTTGCAATATATATATATATAGTGCTTAGACATTTACTCATTAGCTTTTAAATTATCAATTATGCTTAAGCTTACCTACCGTCGTAATTTATGCTTCATAATATATCTTTCTTCACTAACTTATATATATATTAGTTAACTTTATTAATCACAGCCGAATTACAAAGTATCTTATTCATTGGTCACTAAAGGAAGTAATTTTTAGTGCTAGTTTGAATTAACGCATCTTGTAAATTTGAGTCGAATGTACCGTTAAACCATCTGAGTAACTGAGCAATATTCAATATTTGATTATAATAGATAGGCTAAAAGCTAGATGTAGCCTACTGGATAGCATCATAGCATTTTGGACTTCTGATCGAAGAGTCCGAGGCTCGAGACGTGAAGCCGGTGAACATGTTCCGCGCTTTTGCTTGTGGGTGCACTATAAAAGTGACAGTTAATCCCGTTATTTGGTTCAAAATAGCCGAACAAAGCTGTTGTTTCCCTATGGTCAATAATTTATAATTAGGAACGGATATTCACGAACTTTAAAATGTTTTGACATCATCACTTAGCCGACATGTGCATAATATGCCGTTCAGGTTGAAAATTCCAATTTCAAAATAAGTAAGAGAAAAATTTATGGTTGAAAAGTCCATTCCAGCTATTATATTCAAAGTAGAATTTTTGATTTACTGCGTTTTACGACACCTAACAATAGATTAACATATATTTATTTAAGAAACAAAAAACCAACTGGTTAATTTGATGTTATGCAAGTAGAAAATGCAACATAGCTCGCATACTCTATTGGAAACAGGTGAAATGGTTTGTATTGAATTTCGCGCAAAGCTACACGCAGCGTAAGACTAGAGGGATGGCAGCTAGTCATCACCACCTACTCTTTTACCAACGAATAATGGAATTGATTGTCACATTATAACGGTCTCATGACTGAAAGGGCGAGCATGTTTGGTGGGACGGGGATTCGAACCCGCGATCCGCAGATTGTGAATCGAGCGCCCTAACCACCTGGCCATGACGGTACCAGGTGAAATAAACGCGAACTTATCAGCTTTATACCAAAACTACTCGACTCGTAATCTGAGGGTCGCGGGTTCGAGTCCCCGTCACACTCAACATGCTCGCCCTTTCAGCCGTGGGGACGTTATAATGTGACGGTCAATCCCACTATTCGTTGGTAAAAGAGTAGCCCAAGAGTTGGCGGTGGGTGGTGATGACTAGCTTGCCTTCCCTCTGGTCTTACACTGCTAAATTAGGGATGGCTAGCGCATCCTCGTGTAGCTTTACGCGAAATTCAAAACAAACAAGCAAACAAATTATATACACATGTTGAGGTAAAAGAGATAGTGATGTAATCATTGAGTATAATCCTTCTTCGAAGTGATTATATTTTGAAATTGATTTATATTTCCCGTTCTACGAACTACGTTGAACTTGATAAATTATGAACTAACGAATGAACAAATATTATATATTTTGTCAACTACTGTCGTTATCACTTTCAGTTTTGTTCGTGGCCTTGTTATAACTGTTTAACGTTTTCCAACAGCTGCTGTTAACCTTGAAAGATTCGTTACACAAATTTTTCTTGTTTGGAAACTGCATTATGTCAAGTATTATTTTTGTTCGAATGTAAGCCTTAAGAGCCTAGGTTACCACACACCAACGTTTTCATTTTGCATTAAATGTACTTAAGTTAATTAATGTCATTTTCCGTGTTTTATTTTTCATTAAGTTAATGGTGAGTTATATCATTAGTGTTAAATTTCAGTATATTTTTTTAAGAAAGTATAAACAACGTATACGGTAGGAAAATCAAGCAGTTGGATTCCATATGACATTCAATTGAATTACTGAGATTTTCAGTTTCTAAAACATAGAAAAATCTACTCAGTAAAACCTTAACATTCTAGTTGGTGGGTAGATATACACCGCGCTTTAACTCCATGGTGTACTTGAATATATTAATGTCTCCGCAGAGAGACAGACATACTGTTTTTCTATTGTTTCTTCTTCTTTCTTCCTTCTTCTTCCAAACACAATTCAATCGACCGCCATTCCTTTATCTATCGGCGGATTGACTTGAAACTTTGCA